TTTGATTTCTAGGACCACGCAGCCCTACGTGAGTGCCTCGTTTGTTTCCTTTTATGTCCCAGTCATTACTTACAAAATGCGACACTTGAATGTATAAGAATTTTTTCAACTGCGAAACAACTGCGCTGTTTCTTGATGATTTTTTTAAGTCGTTTTTATTCTTACTTGTGAAGGTGTAAGTTAATGACCTTTTTACAACATAAGATTGCATCAGTTAAATTGTACGGGAATTTTAAAAACTACAATTGTAAATAATACATAAATATTTCACTTAAGGTGATGAAGAAAGATGGAAAACCATTCGAAAATACAATGGCTAGATATAATTGGCGAAGATTATAATATATTTGGAAAGAATATCAGAAAAATAGGAGATAAAAGTCATAATATAATATAGGCAACCATAACACAAAAAAAAGCGCAGATAGTTGCGAAAATTTTGAAATAATTTAGTTTAATGTCTCACGTTTCAAAACTCTTAATGAGAATCGCTCATAAATATACAAAAAACAATACGTGCACGAACTATTCTCACGGAAATATGTCCCTTATTCTAATTAGTTATAAATTTTGCTATATCTGGTGGTATAGGTATGTACCCATTTGCCAGATCCCAATTGGTCAAGAAAACGAATCATTAAACAATAAATAAAGGCTAAGGTTATCGGACAAATTGACGTTACAATGTGCGAGACGCTACGTTACAAATTTCCTCTGAAGTGATTTATCGGGAAACCCTTACGTTTGAGGTTTTATCTTACTCGGCATACAATTTATAACCGATAGAGAAATGCGAGGGTTGCCACCTCCATGACAATAGCTTCCAACTTGGCTAAGCTTTGCATGAAACGATACGATTACAAGCTGGCCGATTATATGCCTATCGTTAAAGCCATATTTAGAATGCCTAATAGGGTAAAGGAGGATCAAACGAAATGGAAAATATTGTTTTATTTACTCGGGATCTGTTACATAAATACGTAAACGTTTCAGTATAATTTTGCAGCGTTCAAGAACGCTCCGAAGGTTGGTGGTATCAAATGTAAGAATTATGCGGAACTTTCGAAACTTTCTAGGTAAACTGTTATTGTATCTCTTACTTTTTTGAGTACTGTCTAGATTGAATCTCATTTATTAGTAATACAAGATCTGTTTTTTATAGTACGATTACGATAAAAGTGCTTTTTCAATGGCGTGCTAATGAGATCCCCAAAGGAACCGAATTTTGATCCAGGAGTGACAGTATTCACAAATCACTAACAAAAAAGTTTGGGGATGAAGGGGATCGAAAGAGGAGGTCTCCCCCACCACTGTACCATAAGAAGTTCGTGGCGGTCTCACCCCCATAAAAAGGTATAGGGGTTCGATGTTAATAAATATGTCAATTTTTATACATTTCTAGGCATGTAAATATTTATATAGTCATTCTTAAACAATATTCAAAGGTAAAACTAATGAAAAATACATAAAAATAATGAGAAAGTTATATAAAACATTATTTAAATATCTTTATCAATAGGGTAGGTTAGGTTAGGTTATCGGGTTTTGTTCAAGTGACCACCCTCTTTCGATCCCCCACCTCCACCCGCTTGAAAATAATTTTTTTATTGAATTTTATTTGAATTATAGTGTATGAAAATTGTCAAAATAATCAACTTTCAACCCCCATAACTTTTTATGGGGGTGAAACCGCCACGAACTTTTTATGGTACAGTGGTGGGGGAGACATTCTCTTTCGATCCCACCCACCCTAAAGAATGTGGGGGCCATCATTTAGACATTTACCAGAAGTTTTATTTTAGTTTTCAATAAAGTTGATGGGTAATTCCGCACTGCATTTTAAAATGAAAATAAAAACAATTTTGAAAACTTATCGACAACGAAATTTCTCCATAAGGATTCTCTTTTAATCTCTTTTTAAGTAGAGTGCAAAAAGAAATGTAATTGTGGCCTGGCTACTTTTCCCTTGCAGTCAATAAGGGTCAGTTTCTAAAAAACGTTTTCATTAAGCGAGTGTATATAAAGCGCACACTTTTGCATTTATAAATTGTTACGTGCTCGGCTAATAGTTGAAAAGAACGCGGGTTGTAAAGCCGAAGACTAATTAAACAGCAAGGGCTCTCAAAAGGTTGCCTGTACATACATATACGTATGGAAGTCCAGGGAAAATGCATTTATCTGGGAGTCAATGTGCCGAGATAAAACTTGTTGCACTTCTGTAAAAGTAGCGCGAGGCTTGTGTACATTTCATCATTTTTTAATCGTCTTTATATAGTCTACCAGACACAGAGAAAAAGGTAAAGTAAAATTTTGCTTTGAAAATAACTTCTGTTTTCTATTTTCATTTCGCGTTACTTTTAATTAACTATAGATTCCTAAGTACATAGGTAGCTTCACGAAAATATTGCGCAGATAATTCTTTACTACCTCAGGTCTTTATTTCGTCCATCCACCCACTCATTCCTATAATTTCTAAATGGGATAACCAAAGGGAAAAGTAAAAAGCGAATGATGACGCATGAGGATACCGTGGTTATAAATGAGAAGGAGAAAGAATATGAGAACAGAGAGCGTCATGGAATTTAATAGGAAATAGGCGAGATAGGTTGGTAGGATACCTTCTCAGGCATGAAGGTCTAGTCGCAGACCTATTAGAGCCAGAAACAGCAGTTAAGAGGAGTAGAGGTAGATCTAGATTAGATTACTGTTCGCAAATAGTTAAGGATGTGGGATGTTCTAGTTTTAGGGAAATGCGAAGATTAGCTCAGGATAGGAAAGAGTGGAGGTGCCTACCTAATCAATCAATACTGATGACCCAATAATGTTGATCATGACGATGATGACGTATTTTTAAACTGAAAAATCCTACTCCATCAATAAAACAGTTTGACGTTTGAATATATCCAAAAGCTTTGCAATTAATTAATTTTTCTTTCTGACTTTCTGTCTCTCTCTGTGTATTAATTAATTTTAATTCCAACAGCAAATTCCGCTGTTGAATGGTTGCGCATACCGAAAACTGTTTAATAATTTCGCGTTTTCATGAAAAATATACATTCCTGCATACTTGATAATGTAGCAATTCTTCTGACTCGATGCATTTGTGCAGTTAAAAATTCGAAAAAAAAAGAAATATAACAGCGACCTGTGCATCAGAAATAAAAGAAACTTACATTGTGTACGGACATTTAATATTTATACACCATTTCCAAGCAAAACTGTTTTTCGTATGCTTCGTTTAAATACGCGTAGGGAGTTCGATAATTCGTTTTTTGAAGTCTCCTGTTCGTTTTGGTTTTTGATTGAAAAGATAAGTGTTAATTATTTTTAAACCATGTTTTAGAAAGTATAATAAATAAAGAAAATCAGACCAGAAGAAACAATTAAAATTAGAAAAAGAAACTATTAGCTAGAACTCTGTCTTATAATACGACAAAAGTGATCTTCGGTAAGTGAATAAGGAATGTTAAATTTCCAGGAAACCATCTTTGGGGATATTCAAGACAACAGCTTAGCAATGACACCTGGATAGACTTCAGAGGGCTTTACGAAGCTATCTCGTTCAAAATACATGAAATTCGTAATGGCTAAAAAGGACGGCGACGTCCCTTAAGGACAATATGGCCATTACAAGCAAGTAAGCGTTCATTTATATTGTAGGTAGGTATAGAAGACGTCGAGACCTTTTTTTGTTGTGCTTTTGTATTCCCATGACATTATTCTTATTTCCTGAGAAGCTACGTTAGTCAAAGACGGTTAAATTGGACGCGTGGCAACTGACAGGTACCTACTTATGTCACATAAGTTTTACTATCATCGTCATAAGGTCGTCAGTCTTAAGACTGGTTAGACATGCATCTCCAATGTTTCATATCCTGTGCTAATCTTCGCATTTTCCTAAAACTAGAACCATATCCCTAACTATTTGTGAACAGTAATCTAATCTAGATCTACCTCTACTCCTCTTAACTCCTGTTTCTGCCTGTAATAGGTCTCCAACAAGCCCTTCATCCCTGGGAATGAATCCTAATATTTACTTCTCTACATTGCAGCCCCGTCTCTATAACTGCCTGTTGCTCTTTATACAAACTAAATATCACTCTTCTATCTCATCACTACAAGTTTCACTACATGTAGGGAAAATGTATTGATGTTGAATTGTTAAAGAAATGCAGATATATACCTAGTAATCAACAAATTAATAAATGATCGCAGAGCAATAGAACGGGATACAAATTAAGTACTAGTACAGTTACCATTAGCTGATGATTCCATTAAAATAAATCGATTGGAAATCTTGAAACGAAAGTTTAGTGTGACTTGTTTTCCGGTTGAAAAGTGCTATATCGGTTGGTGTTCGCACATGTATCAGTCCATTTAGTTCAACCTTGGAAAAGTTAAGCATCCTTACGCTGGAGGAAATGGGTTGTAATGACGCCAAGGATTGAACGAAACAGAGACTTAAAGTAGACGGAGAGTTAAAGATTCAACTATCGTTAAATGCTAAAGTTTCACACCGTTTAACGTATAATTTAACTGTACGAGTTTATCAGTGACTTCATTCTGTATTTATGCCTTTTGGTAGGAAAAGCACGGTGAAGTTTAAAAAGTCTTTTAACCAAACAAAATCCTTCCTTTTAATTAACAACTTGCTCGTAAACCATTGTGCTTTGTTTTAGTCTCAACCATATAATTGAAAGTCAAAAATTATAATTTTTTGTCGACATACTGTTCAATTTATTGTTCGATGACAAATAAAAGGTTTCTACGATATTTGTCAAATAAAAATCAATCTCATTGATAAAAAAATATGTTGGATGATGGTTTTCATTTTTAAATTAGTAAATTTGAAACTAATAGTTCTAGTGTCGATACCTCGAGATATCGAAAGCTTTTCTTTTTCACTTTCGGTTTGAATAAATTTTCTTTTGCAGAAAGCATTCTCAAATCGTTATATAATCAAAAATTGTAAAGACAAGTGTAATAAAAAAGAGACTTACCATAGTATGTGAACTACTGGAACTGTTTCTGTGGTTGGTCCTGTTAGGTTTCCCTGGGGAAGGAGTATGTGCACTGATCTTGTTTTCGGGTGGACCTCCGCCGTTCTTGACACTAATTTCCAAATAGCAGTGCGATTCCAAATGACTTTGGGCTCTCTTTTCGTCCAGTACGATTTTCCGAGCTGCCCGAAATATCTTGTAATAAACGACAATCATCACGATGAGGGGTATGTAGAAACTACATAGGGTAGCGTACAACTGATAACCGAACTCCTGGCACACTATGCACACCTGTTCTTCAACTATATCACCTTTGGTAAACTTGTGTTCATTGCCGAGAATTAATAGGGGCGGCAAAGAGATACATGCCGCTCCACACCAAACCAACAGCACGCAAAATAACATCCGTTTCGGGGTACGTTTCACACCGTACTCTAGGGGTTTCGTAATCGCGTAATAACGGTCTACGCTTATCATACACAGATTGAGGATGGATGCGGCGCAACTCAAAACGTCGAAACCCACCCACAAGTTGCACATTATCTCACCGAATATCCACTTGCCGTTTATCTCGTAAAACATTGCAAACGGCATCACCAACACCGCAACGCACAAATCGCTAACTGCCAGGCTCACCAAGAGATAGTTGCACGGTCGACGGAGCTTCTTCACCAAACATACCTGAAGATAAGGGCAATTCAGTTAATGAAAACAGGAAATTAATAGTAGTTGGTATGAAAATATATGTACAACATAAAAAAGATCCCTGAGCTGTGAGATATAACTTATTTTAGAGTACAAGAGCACGGTGAAAAATTCTCGGCCTCTCATTAAAAAAAAATATTTCATTTTTCTACATAATCTTCCTTGACTTGGTCCAGCGATTCTCCAACATCAATATTCCTTCCCGGAGTTGACAGTGCGGAAAATCCATTTATGGCCCCCTGAACGTCTTAATGGGACGCGAAGCCCTTATCAGAAACAAATTATGGGAATAGATGGTAGTCTCAGAGTGCCAAAGTAGGAGAATTGGGAAAATGATCGACCAAATTGTACCCCAAATCCTGCATTTTCCCATCGCCAACATACTTTTGTGAGCAGGTGAGTTGTCCTGGTGAATGGTGATTTTCTTCTTCTTCAAACCAGACTTTTTTTACGAATTTTAGCATCCAGCTGGTCAAGAAGAATGGAGTAACATTTGCCTGTAATTGTTTTGCTCCTAAACATCCCTCATACGCGATTAAAACTACTCTACTGTCCCACCCATTTTGTTATCCAGAAAATAAGTAATATCTGACAGCTCGGTGATCTTGGACTAAAAGTAACAGTTCAGTTTGTTTTTAAATTTGATTCATAATTGCACCTTTAACTTTGGGAAGCAAATAGAATTTCTGTACAGCTAATGAAGAAATGCATCGTAAACATTCTAAAAGCTGAAATTTTAACATCAGCTGGTTAAATTATGTAGATATACATACAAAGGTGTTTTTTCACGATAAAAATCAACGGAAAAATATAAGTATTTTGAAACAGGTGATTTGACTTACCGCCACGCAGACCAGTATATTGCCAATAGTGGTTCCTAATATGACGATTACAAGTATAACAGTGATGACGATCGTTTGCAAGGTGGTAAATTGGGGTTCTTCCTCTATTGTAACATTCCATGTAGTCACGTTGCCATCGTATGGGTCGCTTATGTTTGGAGCCATGCGAATACCTATTCGACCATCGAGGAATTCATCTAGAAGATATAAACTGATGTCTGCGTGCGTTTCTCATTTATTTAGCGGTTTAGCCGGGCAAATCCTCAGCCTCTTGAGTGGCTCGCGAAAAACCGAAGGAAAAGTAGAAATTAATCAGGGAGGAAGGGATGACGGAGAGCGTGTGTATATATGTTCAAGTCGAAAGTTTTCCCGGCACGAGGGGTTATTGTATAAAGCGGCTTAGTTCCGAGGGCTCGGCGTGAAGAATATGCCGGATTTATTTGATACGGATCATAATTTAAAATTCAAATGTTTTCCAAGCTTTTTATCAGGTACGTTTCTATCTGGACGTCCTGGCCGTCGATCAATATTTCGTCGAATCCTGAGCACCACTTTGACTCCATTTATCTGCAACAATATTAAAATTTTATTGAATAAACATCAACAGTTCGTTCGGTTTTTCTCTTTTTAATTTTTTTTTAATTATCGGCAGATGTTCAAAATTTCAAATGAACCTCGACAAATTCAATCAAATGCCTCTGACGCGATGATAATCCCAGCAACATGGTCAAAGGGCACATCTACCTACTGCACAGTGATATTTTAAGCTGATTAATAATTTTTCAGAGAGGAATACGTTTGGACAACAATTCCAGCCTGCTTTTGGGCAAATTTCGATAAAGAGAACTACGTAAATCATCTGAATAATCGGTTAAAAGATTATTAATCGATTATTTTAATTTATTATATCTATTGTCGATTATTTTCCTATAATCGACAAACGATTGTTAAATTTATTAATCGCTCACCCCTACAGCAAACTTAGTTTTACTTAACTGATATTACTTTGTTGGTGGTTCCACTGTTTTTATCGAAATCTTTCTATAGATTGCCCAGGGCCGGCATAAGATTGCTAAGTTTGGTTTTCTTAGAATAATGCGTCTAGTTAACAACCTCCCAAGTATGTTGCCTATTTCAGAAACACCCTATATTTATACGTATCAAAGAAATTTAAAATATTGTTTTGAAGATGAGTTTAGTTTTTTTGTTTTTATTTGTCATCTATTTCTGCTAGATTTCCTATCAATGTAATACATTGTTGGAAATACAATCGAGAATGCTTTCCTATTACAGTTTCATTTACGACATGTGTAATCAATCTTTTCAGAACAAATACCTGACACACTTAGCAGATTTGACACTTTGAACTTATCAAATCCAGCGGGACTAATCGACATTTCCTTTAAGTACTTATCGGAACAAAGTTACAACACAAATATCGTATTCTCTAGCTACAATATATGAAGAAAACTTATTTTGTTCAGTAGTTTTCTTAAACTACCTAGATAAGTATAGAATACATATAAAACTGTGACTATGGGGAGTTTGTGGAAAGAACAATTGCAAATTATCTTTTTTCTACTCTGAATTATAATTTAATTCTAACGTTCCTTTGAAAAAATAAGAACCTGTGTTAGATCAACAATTATAAAAATCTTTCTTTAACAACTTTAAGACAGCAGGTAAAAGTTGGTCTGTGTTCTGTCGGAGCTGCCTGCGACGCGCTGATGAGATCCAAAAAGATCGAAATCGCGATCCGCGTTTGGCAGTTTCGACAGAATACAGACCACTTCGAATTATTTTATTCTTTCTTTAACCTTCGGCGTTTAATAAATTTATAAATATTATCATAATTGCAAACCTTTTCCTGTTTAATTACTTATTCTTTTGACATCTAAAGTTTTTGTGCGTGTTCCGCCTCATTTGAATTCTAACGAAGTAACCTACCTAACCCTTAAATCTTTAAATTGAATATAAATTTGATTTACAAAGCAGATAAGTGCTTCTGCGAATCTTAATTGATTTATGTAGAAAATTTCGCTCGGTTTAATCAGATTTGTGCGAGTGCCAGAACCGTCAGTTTGAGAATAAATTCGTTCACTTGAAATGCTACAAGTTGTCCACGATTTCTATTGAAAACATGTAGATTACGTATGTTGTAACACCAAAATAACGACATTTTAAAACAATTTTTCAGTTAGTTTTTTTACGCGTTTGATTGCGCTGTATTAGGAGAAAATTGGTGACCCAAATTTAAATTAAATTAACACAAAGGAAAGGTATCGATGAAAACAATTTTTAACAGTATTTAAATGAATAGTAATATGCGCTAAGTGCTGTAAGCTTAATATTCTTTTATTTCTTTGACTTTCTATTTTGTAACATACGTAATATAAATTCGATTATGAGCATGGCATTGTTTTCAAAACAAACGAGTATTCAATAATAATCCTCAAATTGTTGGGGTAGTTTGTTAACCCAGTTTCTGAAGTTGGTTGAGATGTATTTTATTCTATTTATAGAAGAAAATAAAAATTTTTCGTTTTTAGTAGGTACTTCAGTAGTTTATTATATATACAATTGTTTTGTTATTTTGTTGGATTGTCGTTGTTTTGGGATAAGTATATTATGTAGATGGTAACCTTCTAAATGCATGGAATAGATACATTGGCTATCAAGAAGGCGCCACAATCTGGCCCTTAATTTATACGTGTCCTTTGTTCAGGGTTAAAATGATCGTTTATAGTCCCTTTCCAAAGATTCGTTTTTACGTCCTCGGCTGAAGGCCATCAGGAACAATACCTTATTAATAAAATTCGCGAAATATTTCCATCCAATACCAACGTTACGTAAAAAATAAATTATGGCTTAAACGATTCGATTTTAAGTCCTGCTGGTGGCAGATATTAATGTCGGATGGGAACGCTAAAAAATTGTTTCATCTTTTTTTATTGAAAAGGGCAAACATAATGGCGGACCTTGGGACCCATATTGCTACTATTTTTCACTCGTAAACACTAAAAAATTATGATTAGATTCGAGTTTTTGTGATGAAAGGTATTAGTAGCATAACAGATAATTGTAATTTGGAAAAGATTTAGTAGAATAATTACAGAATAAATGTAAGTGTTTGAAACAAAAATTACTAACAAAGTTTTTGTATCTATGGCGAAAAAACTGTTCTTGACATACAAAAAATATTGAACTAAAAAAACTGGGGAACTTTCCTCTATTTATGTAAATTGTGTAGAATACTTTTTGCTTCTAAATAAAGATGATTTGCATTGAAAGAACTTAAACGTAATCCGGTAAAGTTAAAGAAGTTTCCTGAATGTATTTTTGAGAAACTGTGGTGGGCTACACAAACATTTCATCATTCAAATGAGAGATGCTTAGTCTTATTTTTTCTCCCAGTTAAAATGTATGTAAATACGAAAACTGTGGAGTGGAAGAAACCGTCGAAAAGCATTTGTCATAAGGTGTTTGTTGAATTGCCAGAATTTTTGAAATTACATTGTTTCCAATGCGCTACTATATGGCGTTCCGTCTAATAAATTATTTAAATTCAGGAAGTCAGATAAGTCAGGATAGAAGGAGTAGTAGGGATATAAAGCAGAGGATAGCGCAGGGTCGCCTTTAATAAAAAGAAGTCACTTCTATGCTCGCGAACGGTTAATTTAGAAATTCGAAAAAGGTTGTTAAAGGCGTATGTCTGGAGCGCGACGTTGTACGAGTGCGAAACATGGACAGTGGGCGCGGTGGAAAAGAAAAGGTTAGAACCATTCGAAATGTGGTGTTATAGGCGGATGATGAGGATAACGTGGGTAGAAAAGGTTAGAAATGAAGAGGTATTGGAAAGAATAGGAGAACAGAGGATTCTATGGAAGTCAATAAAAAATAGGCGAGATAGGTTGGTAGGACACCTTTTCAGGCATGAAGGTCTAGTCAGAGACATATTAGAGACAGAAACAGGAGTTAAGAGGAGTACAGATAGACCTAGATTAGATTACTGTTCGCAAATAGTTAAGGATGTGGGTTGTTCCAGTTTTAGGGAAATGCGAAGTTTAGCTCAGGATAGGAAAGTGTTTGGAGGTACATGTCCAACCAGTCTTAGGACTGACGACGTTATGATGATGATGATTCAATTCAGCTTCATATAATTAAATATTTAAGTTTAAAATTAGCAGGATTAAGTGGGCCATTTCTCTTAGACAGTGGTTCTTCTGGAAAGCTAAATGTCGCTAAAATTTTGCTTAATAAACTTTTATTATTAATATTATATAAAAATGTGAATGAATTTGTTTGTTTGCTACCATTTCACGCCTTAACTACGCAATCGATCATCGTGAAATTCTCTACACATATTGTCAGGGGTGCAGTAAAGAACATAGGGTACATTTTATCCAGGACAAAAAACACTGTTCCCGAAGGATAGAAATAAGTTTTAAGTGGTCGTTGATGACTTCGAGCGATGCCGCGGACAAAACATATCATGAAATTTTGTACATACATCGTCAGGGGTACAGAAACGGACAAGGGGTACCATTCGTCCAGAAAAACATATATCGTTTCCGAGGGATAAAAAAATTGATTTTATGTGGTCGTCGGTGATTATTGTTGACACGTATTTAGGCCGCGAGTAATACCTAATATACATGTACACATATAAATGGTTTAGAGTTCCTTGCATTCGTGTTCGAAAATTACACATGGATGAAAAGCGTCCTTAAAAAGAGAAACCTTTTTATAAAAAATACACACACTCATATTTGCGCGTTCGGTACGTGCCAAAACTGAATTTATTATGGGACAGTTGTCCTCTGGAAAGTACTTACTTACATATACATAGGTGTATGTGTAAAAATTGTACCCTACGCAGTGTGATGAGAATGGGGTTAGTAGACGGCAACCCTCTCCTTAGAAAAGGGAGCGAAAACACGGGAATTCACAACCGTCGCTTTTACTTTCGAAACGCCATTAGTAAAATAGTAAGAGGAGGCTTTCAATGGACTGAAATTCCCCTAAAATATAAAAGAAACCTTTTTCATCCTCACATATGGATGGGCATGATATAAGTATGCCTTCTATACAAATAACGTTCTCATAATAAATATACAATTCGGATGCAAGAAATAAAAGTTTTGTTCTTTTGTCCTATTTCTAATACCTCGTCGTTTCTAATCGCAAGTTTATCGTCTCCTACTTATTCCTTTTTACAGTATTCACTTTTGTAGAATGTTCCTCAAATTCTATAACTGTATCCATTGTTCTTTATATAAACTGTATATAGATAGGTATCACATTTTCCCAACATCATTAAGTATTTTTAACAGCTTCTCTCATTTAATATTATCAAAACCTTAACGTAATTAAGTAATTAATTAACGAAAAGATTAAAACCCTTTTTTGTTTTATAAAGTTTAAATTATCGAAGTACTATAAGTATATAAACTGCTGGCGATAACTTTTCAACTTAAATTACTATATAGATTTACATATGATTTTGTTATTTATTATTATTTTTGGCTATTGTTATTATTATTATTATTATCATCTTTGCCTTTTGTTTCCAAAGTTTAGCTGAAGCTTTTGGCTTTTGTAATTATGTTATTTTATCGCCAAAGTTATTCGAGTTTATAAATTGAAGATTACCTCCTGAATGTATTAATTTAATTTAGTAAAGAAGGTAGACATTAGCAAATACAGAAGATTAAGTGGATTATTTGTGTGTCAGAGAATGACTGTGGGGAAAATTTCACGGTGGCATTACGAAGGTTTTATAAATGAAATGCCTGGAATTTTCTGGTTTGAGGCTGCATAAAGCTGACGCTTTACATCAATTCCTTAGAAGGTGTCTTTTCTTTGAAACATCGAGAAGGATCGCGGTTTTCTTTAACTATTCAGAGGAGCTGGGCGTGATGATATTACCCGCAAAATTTTAAAGGAAATATGGTAAAAGAAACACATGAATAACGTAAACTTTTGAGAAAATTCTGACATTTATCTGCGCCAAACTTTTGAGAATCCATATACTTCCTTTCTTTGAATTATCCTTTACAGAAAATCAACTTTTCAATTTTCACTTCAAAAACAGTTTCCAAATTTACCTCTCAAATTAATTACCGTAAACTTCGGGGAATTTATTTTGTGCGACAAACTTTTCGTTGTCAGTTCAGGGGGTACGATACCCCTTAATAATATTACATTGCAGCTACGTAAAAACATGCGCAGTTTCACAAGTTAATAAATGGACTCTGGCACTCTACATCAGCTTCCTGCGGATCCAACAATTAATTAGACGGGGAGTGGTTCATTAAGGTTTATCGACTCCTCAAATCTTTAATTTCTCTTTATAAATAGCTTTCGGAGCAGGAATAAGCCCAGTGGTACTTTACAGCACCAGTAATCTTCACCAGGAGTCGTAAACATGAAACTTTGTGATTATTATGTAGCAGCAATTTCGTTCTCAATCTCTAACAAGATAGGCAGGTAGCAAGTTGCGTATATGCGCATAAACCTTTATTGGCGAACTTCTTAAAACTGATGAAATTGAGACCAAAGTTGGACTAAATGTTTAATGCTGCCGTATTTTAACGCCCTACAGGCCAACTAACAGAATTTAAATTAAAGTAATAATACAAAGCTAAAAGCATTACTAATTAATGTAACCGAGGAATTTGCTTGTCCGTCAAAGAGTGTTCAAAAATTTAGTCATTAACAGTGGCATTTACAATTCGCATCTAATCGCAGGATAATGAGATTATTGCTTCTCTGATCCTTACATAATTTTTTTTCTGCGGAAGGTACCTCAAATTGTAGTTTGTATCACCGGCTACCTGATAAAAAACAAAAGCAACGAACGACGTAGAGAGCTCGTTAAATTCGGATTAGAGTTTGTTAGACAGTAATATTGCTATCCCTCTGTCGGAAAAGTGTCAAACAACCTGGAAGCATTAGTGAGATTTCCAATTACACTGAGGTAAATTTTATTAAGGACGTTTCCTTCGTCCACCTGACTGATTAGACTAATTTTTATTCTACTTAAAAAATAGTTTGTTTAATTCTGTTTTTGACCATGCCAACCTTTCTATAATATTCTATATATTTATTTCTCATTACGTAAACTTAAAGTAAACAAAAAGAAGTTATTTTAGTAAAAATGCCTAACATTCTAGAAAATATTGGGTAATTTTTAATTCTAAATACTTCAAGCTTTACAGTTTTGGAGAGAATTCATAAAACAAAAACCGTAGTCTAGAAATAGAATCAAACAGGCTTACAATTGGAGAAGTTGCTTATTAATAAATTAACAAACAAACAACTCCTAATGCAGAAACAAAGTTTTATTTGTTTTTCAAGTTTATTAGCGGAGATAGTGAAACAAAAATGAACAAAATTCTGTTCATGATTAATGCACGCTCCTGAAAATTTAAGAACTGTAATTCTCGCTGACATGACATTTACCGCTGACATACCTAATCATCTTAACAAAGTTTTCCCTTTAGAACGTTTATTCGTCTGATACAGCTGAGGTGATTTTACCGTCATACCGTCCGCTCTTAAAAACTGGGACGCAATTTTCAGTTATTACTCGCCACATTCAGTTATAAAACCCTGTCCCAAGTGCATCCATACAAATAGTCACTTGCATGATTACGACAATAATTAGTCCTGCTTCATGTTTGTAATCATTAGTTGAACACACCACGCCGAATTAATTTGTTGCGTTTGCCATCATCAGCCAGAAGCTTCTGCGTAAAACTTGATTATCAGCAACAGAAATGACCTGGATAAGCACTGCGGCTTAGATACGAGTAACCATGGGCGTATCTGGAGATTTTTGCTAAGGGAGGCAGATTTTCGATAGCTGTAGGTTTAGTGTGTTTGGTTTCGGTTTTTAAACTTGTGGCGATATTGTGACTTGTCTGAATCTTTTCTAGGGGCAGTGTCACTCCTTGCTCCTACCTATCTACCCTCACACGAGTAATATGATTAATAAATATGGTGAATAGAATTAAATGGATTTTCAAAATTATATTTTGACGTGACAAGGTCTTATAATTCGATGGAGCCGGCTGCACGCACGAAAAAACATGACTCATGCGGCGTTACCTCGCTCTGAGGCGTTCCATTTAAGGCTTGAAGTGCAAGCGAGAGCGCGGAACGAGCGACAAAGAGGCACAATCNAATAGTAGTTGGTATGAAAATATATGTACAACATAAAAAAGATCCCTGAGCTGTGAGATATAACTTATTTTAGAGTACAAGAGCACGGTGAAAAATTCTCGGCCTCTCATTAAAAAAAAATATTTCATTTTTCTACATAATCTTCCTTGACTTGGTCCAGCGATTCTCCAACATCAATATTCCTTCCCGGAGTTGACAGTGCGGAAAATCCATTTATGGCCCCCTGAACGTCTTAATGGGACGCGAAGCCCTTATCAGAAACAAATTATGGGAATAGATGGTAGTCTCAGAGTGCCAAAGTAGGAGAATTGGGAAAATGATCGACCAAATTGTACCCCAAATCCTGCATTTTCCCATCGCCAACATACTTTTGTGAGCAGGTGAGTTGTCCTGGTGAATGGTGATTTTCTTCTTCTTCAAACCAGACTTTTTTTACGAATTTTAGCATCCAGCTGGTCAAGAAGAATGGAGTAACATTTGCCTGTAATTGTTTTGCTCCTAAACATCCCTCATACGCGATTAAAACTACTCTACTGTCCCACCCATTTTGTTATCCAGAAAATAAGTAATATCTGACAGCTCGGTGATCTTGGACTAAAAGTAACAGTTCAGTTTGTTTTTAAATTTGATTCATAATTGCACCTTTAACTTTGGGAAGCAAATAGAATTTCTGTACAGCTAATGAAGAAATGCATCGTAAACATTCTAAAAGCTGAAATTTTAACATCAGCTGGTTAAATTATGTAGATATACATACAAAGGTGTTTTTTCACGATAAAAATCAACGGAAAAATATAAGTATTTTGAAACAGGTGATTTGACTTACCGCCACGCAGACCAGTATATTGCCAATAGTGGTTCCTAATATGACGATTACAAGTATAACAGTGATGACGATCGTTTGCAAGGTGGTAAATTGGGGTTCTTCCTCTATTGTAACATTCCATGTAGTCACGTTGCCATCGTATGGGTCGCTTATGTTTGGAGCCATGCGAATACCTATTCGACCATCGAGGAATTCATCTAGAAGATATAAACTGATGTCTGCGTGCGTTTCTCATTTATTTAGCGGTTTAGCCGGGCAAATCCTCAGCCTCTTGAGTGGCTCGCGAAAAACCGAAGGAAAAGTAGAAATTAATCAGGGAGGAAGGGATGACGGAGAGCGTGTGTATATATGTTCAAGTCGAAAGTTTTCCCGGCACGAGGGGTTATTGTATAAAGCGGCTTAGTTCCGAGGGCTCGGCGTGAAGAATATGCCGGATTTATTTGATACGGATCATAATTTAAAATTCAAATGTTTTCCAAGCTTTTTATCAGGTACGTTTCTATCTGGACGTCCTGGCCGTCGATCAATATTTCGTCGAATCCTGAGCACCACTTTGACTCCATTTATCTGCAACAATATTAAAATTTTATTGAATAAACATCAACAGTTCGTTCGGTTTTTCTCTTTTTAATTTTTTTTTAATTATCGGCAGATGTTCAAAATTTCAAATGAACCTCGACAAATTCAATCAAATGCCTCTGACGCGATGATAATCCCAGCAACATGGTCAAAGGGCACATCTACCTACTGCACAGTGATATTTTAAGCTGATTAATAATTTTTCAGAGAGGAATACGTTTGGACAACAATTCCAGCCTGCTTTTGGGCAAATTTCGATAAAGAGAACTACGTAAATCATCTGAATAATCGGTTAAAAGATTATTAATCGATTATTTTAATTTATTATATCTATTGTCGATTATTTTCCTATAATCGACAAACGATTGTTAAATTTATTAATCGCTCACCCCTACAGCAAACTTAGTTTTACTTAACTGATATTACTTTGTTGGTGGTTCCACTGTTTTTATCGAAATCTTTCTATAGATTGCCCAGGGCCGGCATAAGATTGCTAAGTTTGGTTTTCTTAGAATAATGCGTCTAGTTAACAACCTCCCAAGTATGTTGCCTATTTCAGAAACACCCTATATTTATACGTATCAAAGAAATTTAAAATATTGTTTTGAAGATGAGTTTAGTTTTTTTGTTTTTATTTGTCATCTATTTCTGCTAGATTTCCTATCAATGTAATACATTGTTGGAAATACAATCGAGAATGCTTTCCTATTACAGTTTCATTTACGACATGTGTAATCAATCTTTTCAGAACAAATACCTGACACACTTAGCAGATTTGACACTTTGAACTTATCAAATCCAGCGGGACTAATCGACATTTCCTTTAAGTACTTATCGGAACAAAGTTACAACACAAATATCGTATTCTCTAGCTACAATATATGAAGAAAACTTATTTTGTTCAGTAGTTTTCTTAAACTACCTAGATAAGTATAGAATACATATAAAACTGTGACTATGGGGAGTTTGTGGAAAGAACAATTGCAAATTATCTTTTTTCTACTCTGAATTATAATTTAATTCTAACGTTCCTTTGAAAAAATAAGAACCTGTGTTAGATCAACAATTATAAAAATCTTTCTTTAACAACTTTAAGACAGCAGGTAAAAGTTGGTCTGTGTTCTGTCGGAGCTGCCTGCGACGCGCTGATGAGATCCAAAAAGATCGAAATCGCGATCCGCGTTTGGCAGTTTCGACAGAATACAGACCACTTCGAATTATTTTATTCTTTCTTTAACCTTCGGCGTTTAATAAATTTATAAATATTATCATAATTGCAAACCTTTTCCTGTTTAATTACTTATTCTTTTGACATCTAAAGTTTTTGTGCGTGTTCCGCCTCATTTGAATTCTAACGAAGTAACCTACCTAACCCTTAAATCTTTAAATTGAATATAAATTTGATTTACAAAGCAGATAAGTGCTTCTGCGAATCTTAATTGATTTATGTAGAAAATTTCGCTCGGTTTAATCAGATTTGTGCGAGTGCCAGAACCGTCAGTTTGAGAATAAATTCGTTCACTTGAAATGCTACAAGTTGTCCACGATTTCTATTGAAAACATGTAGATTACGTATGTTGTAACACCAAAATAACGACATTTTAAAACAATTTTTCAGTTAGTTTTTTTACGCGTTTGATTGCGCTGTATTAGGAGAAAATTGGTGACCCAAATTTAAATTAAATTAACACAAAGGAAAGGTATCGATGAAAACAATTTTTAACAGTATTTAAATGAATAGTAATATGCGCTAAGTGCTGTAAGCTTAATATTCTTTTATTTCTTTGACTTTCTATTTTGTAACATACGTAATATAAATTCGATTATGAGCATGGCATTGTTTTCAAAACAAACGAGTATTCAATAATAATCCTCAAATTGTTGGGGTAAGTTGTTAACCCAGTTTCTGAAGTTGGTTGAGATGTATTTTATTCTATTTATAGAAGAAAATAAAAATTTTTCGTTTTTAGTAGGTACTTCAGTAGTTTATTATATATACAATTGTTTTGTTATTTTGTTGGATTGTCGTTGTTTTGGGATAAGTATATTATGTAGATGGTAACCTTCTAAATGCATGGAATAGATACATTGGCTATCAAGAAGGCGCCACAATCTGGCCCTTAATTTATACGTGTCCTTTGTTCAGGGTTAAAATGATCGTTTATAGTCCCTTTCCAAAGATTCGTTTTTACGTCCTCGGCTGAAGGCCATCAGGAACAATACCTTATTAATAAAATTCGCGAAATATTTCCATCCAATACCAACGTTACGTAAAAAATAAATTATGGCTTAAACGATTCGATTTTAAGTCCTGCTGGTGGCAGATATTAATGTCGGATGGGAACGCTAAAAAATTGTTTCATCTTTTTTTATTGAAAAGGGCAAACATAATGGCGGACCTTGGGACCCATATTGCTACTATTTTTCACTCGTAAACACTAAAAAATTATGATTAGATTCGAGTTTTTGTGATGAAAGGTATTAGTAGCATAACAGATAATTGTAATTTGGAAAAGATTTAGTAGAATAATTACAGAATAAATGTAAGTGTTTGAAACAAAAATTACTAACAAAGTTTTTGTATCTATGGCGAAAAAACTGTTCTTGACATACAAAAAATATTGAACTAAAAAAACTGGGGAACTTTCCTCTATTTATGTAAATTGTGTAGAATACTTTTTGCTTCTAAATAAAGATGATTTGCATTGAAAGAACTTAAACGTAATCCGGTAAAGTTAAAGAAGTTTCCTGAATGTATTTTTGAGAAACTGTGGTGGGCTACACAAACATTTCATCATTCAAATGAGAGATGCTTAGTCTTATTTTTTCTCCCAGTTAAAATGTATGTAAATACGAAAACTGTGGAGTGGAAGAAACCGTCGAAAAGCATTTGTCATAAGGTGTTTGTTGAATTGCCAGAATTTTTGAAATTACATTGTTTCCAATGCGCTACTATATGGCGTTCCGTCTAATAAATTATTTAAATTCAGGAAGTCAGATAAGTCAGGATAGAAGGAGTAGTAGGGATATAAAGCAGAGGATAGCGCAGGGTCGCCTTTAATAAAAAGAAGTCACTTCTATGCTCGCGAACGGTTAATTTAGAAATTCGAAAAAGGTTGTTAAAGGCGTATGTCTGGAGCGCGACGTTGTACGAGTGCGAAACATGGACAGTGGGCGCGGTGGAAAAGAAAAGGTTAGAACCATTCGAAATGTGGTGTTATAGGCGGATGATGAGGATAACGTGGGTAGAAAAGGTTAGAAATGAAGAGGTATTGGAAAGAATAGGAGAACAGAGGACTCTATGGAAGT